CTATATGTATATATGTATATACTCTATACGTTCTTTGTTGCACATTCTGTGACCAAATCTCAAACTCTATTTAAATTACTTTTGGTTCTATAAATGTGCCGGGGACTGTACCCAAAATGTGTGGAGGCCTGTTCTAATTACGTCTAGGGTTTTTTTTTTTATTTTTTCCGATTTGGTTTGCGCATTTCGCGATGCAAATGCGGTTCAGATAATACGAAATACATACGTACTTGGACTTTATAGCGTTCAATGTACGCGGCGTGCGGGGCAATTCCCTATGTAATACTATACTCAAAGTACAAATATTAAAAGTTCTATATTCAGTTCAATAAATAGTACGTTAAATATATATACATATATGTATCTAGGCATAGTGTGACGCCAGCAATGCCCCGAGAGTATTTTCATAACAATTCCCAAGAATATGCACAAATAAATGTGAATATATATATGTATGTGCGGGAGGTAACAATGTATGTAACATATATATAATTTATGCGTATATAGAGAAACTTATCTGCCGGCTGCATAATGGATCCATTGTATCATAAATGATGCAGCTAAATTGAGCTAAACATTAGTTGAATAGCTTTCACATGTGACTACTTGGAGCATTAATTTGATTGAATCGCAGCAGAAAAGTTTTCTAGAATTATTGCAAGACACGCCCCTCCGTGCTCTACAATTACAGAAAATCATCAATAACTAAAAACAGTTTCAAAAACATTTGTTAATTCCTAATCGAATGCTTTTATAGCACGTTCTTTATATAGCTAAGATAAAAGTATAATTGATGTAGGCCGTGTACAAAGTGTACAACTTTCCTTAAACAACTCAACTTACTCGCCAAATTTCCATTGTTTAACGCTAAATGCCAGCTGACATGCCCCCACATTATCGCCCAATCAATAAAAGATTGATTACATACGCCATATTAACGATAAGGCCTTGGCCTATGTAATTTATCAATATCTAATAACATTGCAATTTGTATGGCAAATGGTTTGGAAATGTGGTCGCAAATGTGCAAATAACAATGCTTATTGACTTAACAGCTGTTTTTATTTGTACTCTAACTGCATTCCGGCATTACACAGTCATGTCAAGCTCGAAACATATTTTACATTCTGATAAAACTCTTAAGCAATATAAAATATCAGTACATTAGGGCTTAACAGCTTTTGGATTTGCTTCAATTATATTAACAGCTGCTAAATGGACGTAGATCGTCGATAATGCCCTATTACAATAACATTTTTGGCATAACAGCAATTAGTTTTGCTAACATCATGTTAATAAAAGACTGTTAAAATATAGTATCACAATGGCTGTCTATGTTTTTTTAACAGCTCTTCTGTAGCATGCTAAGAATAACAGAATGTTATTAAAGACTATGTTAACGCTCCGAATATGCTTCGAATGCTGAAATAAAACATGTTTTTCTTATATATAAAAAAACTAGTTCCTCTAGTTTTTAGTAAAATATTAGCTCACGGGTTCTTTCCGCAATTCAAACAATTTTTCATTATATGCAGATCATTCTATCCATGAAACAATGCAAATTTCTTGAGCTCAACTATTTGCGAAGCAAATACAGACACATATGCAAATACGCAAAGTATGGCGATGCGTGAAGAGATGTTGGGTTTAAGTTCAGGGTGTCGGAACTTTTTATTTCTAATATGCCCAGTCGGTCATATGTAAAATTCGCACACTTCTAATTGCCATTGTCAACAGCTGTGCATTTTCTTTCCCATCCATCTATCTATCAACTCGTGAGTTAATAGCTATTTTATTTTTCACTTCCCTCTCATCTTGCGGCGGCTCAATGGAAGACCGCTATCTACTATACTATATATATTGAGTCGTAGTATATTCATACTAACTACGTTTAGATATTGTTTCCCTGCATAAATTAAGTCAACAATTGTTGGAACGTTTGTGCGCACAAATCTATCAGCGAGGGAAGCCCGCAAAATATTTTATATATACAAATATTATTTCGAAAAAAAAAAACTCGTTCCGATTTGCGCTGAACTCATTTGCATTTGATTGGCGCCATTAATTTGGAATTTCTCAGTCTGATATTTGCTGTTGCTAGATTTCTGTGTAAGTCGTGAATCACCCGTGACTGATCCACTGATCAAAACAATGCATCTGCGGCCTCTTCACTTCATTTTTTGTGGGTGTACTGTTATATTGTCGCTGCTTTTCCTGATTTTTGCGCATTGACGTCAACGGCTTTTGTGTTCTTAGCTGGGGCGGCACATTTGGTGCACAACATCTGATCGCTGCCTTTTGCCAGGCAAACATATCATCCATCCAATAAATACATATGTATTTATTTACAATTGACAGCCACTTGCAGGAGCAGCTTTGTTTGCATAGCTGCGTTTGTGAAACAAATGAAAACGAGTTGTTTCAACTGTTGCAGACTTCAAGAGGAAGCGCATGTCTTTAAGCAGCACTTGTATCTGTATCTGTTACCTTTTTGGCGAATGCGCATATTCACAATTCAACGAGGTTTGCTTTAAGAGTACGGGTTTTATTGGAAATTCGCCAACGAGCGTGAAATATAGGTGAAACGCTTTTATACGACATTTTGGTATTTTTTGGTATTGTATATAAAGCTCGGATACAACATTTTATGCCTAGAGCTGTAATTGATAGAATTTGGGTTTTCTTAGAAAGACCGTGAAATAAAGGTGTAACGCTTTTGTCACACATTTTGGTATTTTGTATTCATAAGCTCGCATGTAAAATGAATGGCTTTAATTGAAGTACACGCCCATGATAGGAAAATGTGTGAAAAGCTTCGGAAATTTATAAATACAGTTATCTTAATTCAATGATAATATTATTAGATATGGGTCAGATCTGATCAACATGGGACTGTTATATCATATAGCTCTATGGAAAAACCATATGTTTTTGCTTAGCTACTCTTCCTCTTAACATTACCAAGGTTTATAAATAGTAACCTTTGCCAAAGAATATAATTTTTTAAAGAATATTTTTCGCCTGAACCGGCAAATGGTTCGAATCAAAGGCAAGTAAAAGGAACATAGGGCTACGCGCTGGCATCCCAGGCTAGTATATAGGGTATATATATAGTATTATATATGGAATCACTCCGTATATATCCCATACCAAAATAATACTAACATATTCTATATCCTTATATATTATATTTAGCAATACAAACAAATGAAGTAAATGAAAACTAAGCATATCTATTTTGGAAATTGTTTTACATATGTAGCTGCCAGGGTTGCAACCTTTGCATGCAGTTACCTCTCAAGCTACCTGTGCATGCAGCTATGTACATAGTATATAAGCATATATTTATATTTCAAGCAGGTAACTCAAATATGTATCACAAATACACAACAAATACGAACACAGCTCAACACTTAATAACTTTTTAAAAGGTTTGCAAAATATTGTTTAAATATTATTTGGTTCGACTTGCTATATATATATATAGATGTATATATATATCTATATGTTTGTTCGTGCATTGTTTTGCCTGTGGCTTATTGGTACACATTAATATCGCTCACGTCTGTCGTCTGACGCAATCTTTTTGAACGCTGCGGAGAGGTGTTTCAAGTAATTGCCGCGCGACCTTCTCAGATGACAATGGTCTTCCCCTTCGACTGAAAATATATGTATGTAAATCTGGCCCCAACAACAATGCGAAACTGCGTCGCATCCAAAGTTGAATGCCAGTCAAAAAGTGTGCCGTTCTCATATGCCAGAACTAGAGGATCATGATGACAACGATGATGTTCTATGCCTTTCTAAATAAACATCAATTGTTTATAATATCAAATGCAAGTGTGTCTCTGTCTGTGTGTGTGTGTGTGTGCGGTTCTGTTGACGTCGCTGCTGCTGAGTTGCATTATTTTTGGCGAGGGTCACTTTTGAGTTGATCTCTGGCTGCTCCGGTTTTTCGTAGACCCCAGCGAAATTTGAGCTGCGACTGACGCGACGCGCGACTCGTGTAGACTGCGAAAATGCAACAAATAAAAAATAAATTAAAAAAAAAAAAAAGAAACCAAAACACACAAATCGCCATTAACATGCGAATATATTGTAGTTGGTTTTTAGCACTTGCGCTGGCAATTTCCATTCGCCCAACGGGGGGCGTGGTCTGCCCTGCTTGATATAGCTTAGACTTTGATATGGGCTGCCTTTACAGGTGTTTCAGATTTCATGCTAGATTCAGAACCACGCGTCGATAAGATTATGTGTGTGTGTGTGTTTTTTTTTTTTTTCAATGTACATATTATATTTAAGATAAGCATCGTGCATGGGATAATCAGTTCCAGTTAAGTCATAAAGCGCAGGTCGCGCTTATTTATGTTACCTGCTGTTGGCCGAATTGACGAACTTGTGGCCCTCCACCCCCTGCTGCTGTACTCTACCTGTCGCTGGCCATATATTATTTGTTATTCAAATGAAACGCTGTCATTGCTGACGCTTGTTGCTGCGCCGTGTTTTTTTTTTTGTTTTGCCTGTATTTTCATGTCCAAATCATCTACGTCAACAACCCCTCGAGTTTACATTTAGTCAATGTACTAGACTTGTTCCACGCGGCGTATACGTATTGTAGAGTATCAGTGTGTGCGAGTACGCGCGTGTGTGTGCGTTTGGGGTTTCAATATTTTTGTGTTGTTTTTTTTTTTTTGTTGCCTTGCGGTTTGACCGTTAAATGAACGCGCGCGCGCGCGCTCTTAATAATTATCGCGCTCTCTCATTCGCTGTCATTCGCTCTCACTGGCTGCCCACGGTTTATGCTCTGGCGGAGAGGCAAAAGAAACAACAGTTGTTTTGTTTTCGTGCTCTTATCATCGGCCCCTGTTGCCAACTACATAAATACACACTTATAGCGTCAATTTGGCCAGCATCTGCTGACTTGGTTTTCTGTTTTATTTATTTTATTTTTCTTTGGCATTAACTTTGATTTACCCTATGCCACGCCGTTCTGCGTTTCGCAGTTTTTATGCCTGTTGTGTCTGTGTTTTGCTAGTGTGTTAGTGTATTGGTGCGCATTTTCAAATTTCAGGCTGACAAGTTCGTTAGCTTTGCTTTGTCATGCCCACACACACACACACATGCACACACATACAGCTGTGAGCACTCGCTCGCTCGCTCGTTTGCTCTCTCGCACTCAGCAACAGCGGCTGCAATATCACTGCGCTCACTCACAGCTTGCTGCTACTGTTGCTCGCTCACTCTCTCGCTCGCACACGTCCGCTGAATTTGCTATAAAAGCGAGTGGCAATCGGCGACTTCATTTGAGTAATTTTTGTGTTGTCGTGCACGCCACTTGGTCTTTAGGCTTCTGTTAAGCTACAGCAAGTTGAAATAAAAACAATAACAAATTCCAACTAGAAAGCCCAACTATAAAAGTGTGCTGCAGCTTCTGTCACAATATTTATTAACATTTACCAAAACATATTTTGTGCGAATTTCGTGTGTTTAACTGTTGCGAAGCGCGCGTGTGAAAAGTTAAACAAAAACAAAAAACAAAAAGCAAACTTTTGATTGCAATTATTTAAAAGCAATTGTACAAGCAATTTCATTATTGTTGTCGCTTACGCAAGGCCAACTATATAACAATACAACTGGAAAAAGTCACAGCCAATTCCAAATTTGGATTATTAATAGCGCATAATAAATATTTTGCGCCGTTAGCAATCAGATATTCTGTAAAAGCAGCTAACAGCAACCACAACAAATTGTAAGTATTTCCGTGCCCAAAATAAACTCAATAGCACACACACACACATACAGAGACAACAAAACTTGCATTCTACGCTACATGTATGTGTGTGTGTGTGTGTGCCCTTCTATAAATAAATCACATCAAATTTAATTAAATGCAACTAGTTGTGAGTTGCAGGCTGCCGCATTGCATGCCAAGTCTATATATAGAAACAATCATATACATATGAATGTATGCATACATATACATACATATCTGTCTCTACAGTGTGCGAGTGCGAGCGTGTGCAAAAAAAAAATGTTAGAGTTTACAGTTGCAGTTGCGTTGCCCGCCATTTGCTACAAAAACTTCATTGCCGATGCACAGCACACACTTAATAAATGCACTCAATTAACATAACATTAACATAACATTTACATTTGCATGCGGCCAACTTGTTGCAGTCTGTTGTTTTTACACTTGAGCTTTAAATTTAGATCGTACCGTTAATTTGATAACATTTTTAAATGCGCGACTCTGTCTCACATGATCCACTAAATATAGCAACAATAAAAACAATAAAAAAAAAACGAAAATTATATGATGCTCGGCAGGCAACGGACGCAGAGTGTCAAAAATAAATATTTTGCAATGCTGCCAAAATCAGAAAGATTTGCACACAACACCGTCACAACCCCCTCACCCAAAATAAACCGTGAAACCCCTGTCCAACGGCAGACACGACGCTCGTGCCGCCATTAAGCTAAAAATACACCAATGCATTGCATATACACATATACATATATATCTATTTGCGATATACATACATATGCACAGCTTCCATGACAATTTAGCTGGAAATGTAAAACTGAAATTTAATTGCCTTCGCAATACCTAAATTAATGTTTACACAGGGTATAACAATAATTTGCTATGACACATCCCCCCAATACACAAGCTGTGTTGAGTTGTGTGTGGCCTTTCCGTTGGCGCTTTCAACCGGATTTTTGTGCGTTTTCTTAATTATATATTGCAGAATGTCGTTTATTGACCAGCACTTAAAGTATATTGACCATTAAGCTGGAAAATTTTGTTGAAAGCAAGTGTCTTGGTACAGTTGTGCTTGGCTTTGGCTTTTTTTTGTGTGACATTTAAGTGTTTTATAATACCCACACACGCACACACACACGCACACATAATCATAATGAACTTCACAACACTCGCAGCAGCTGCACAGCTAGCTTGTTTACCTTCGTGCGTTTGTTTACCTGTATTTTGATTTTGATTTTGATTTTTTTTACTTACTCGTTTTGCCCCTGACATATGGTATATGTATTTGCGGGGAAACCCCCTCGCTTTGTGTTTTAATTTTTGGTATTAATGCTTTTCCTTATTTCTGGTTTTTCATTACAGTGCCAACAGCAACAACAACAACAACAGCAACAGCAGCAACTATGTCGAGTGCCAGCGTACATGCTCCCCAAATTGCCGACATTTGCAGTCCACTGGCGTAAGTAAAAGTTGAGATACATGTGCATTAGATGTCCAATAAATACACAGTTACAGCCGCACAGATAGATTAGCTAATAGATACATTGCGAAACACACACAGATACAGATGCAGATACAGATACAGATACAGATGCAGACACAGATACAGATACATATACATATACAGATACAGCTACAGCTACAGCTACAGATACAGATACAGATACAGATACAGATACAGATACAGATACAGATACAGATACATATACATATACATAATACATATACAGATACAGATACATATGCATGTATCAGCATATCTATCTATGGCCAGATTGCTCATACGCCTTGTGATTCACGGCTGTATTTAGCTGGAAGCGCCATTTCCGTTTTTATTGAGTGACAATCAGCGAACGCCCCTTTTCCCCCATTAGCCCCTATCCCCTTAATGATACATTCGCTGGATGTGCGAAATTTTTGTTAGTGGGCTTCGTAAACAAAGTCAGGGCCAGTTATGGCGAATTGACAGTTAACGCGAACCGTGTCGCTGACAGTGACTGTAACAGTGACTGTCACAGTGACTGTCAAATGCTTAATGCCTGCGCTTATGCATGGGCCTCCATTCATAGTTTTGCAATCTAATCGCGAGCTGGGTGCAGAGTACAACTAACAAATCAACTTGGCCCCGACTTTGGCTGCCATTAACAAAATGCCGCATACTGCATTATGTTTTTGTTGTTGTTCTAGTCTGATACCAGGCTAAGGGGCATTATCATAAGCTCTCAGCCGTCACTCTCTCTCGCGCCCTCTCTCTCCCTCTCACTCTTTATCTGCCGCTCTCTTGCGCCAACAATAAAGGCTGGCGACGCCGCGTCGTTCACATGATCGGGCGAAAGCTGTCGCTGACTCGCTGGCTGACTCGTCGTCTGTCGTTGGTACAGTCCCGAAACGCCGCCGTCGTCTCGCCGCCGTCACGCTGCTCATTATCATAATCACGCCAGCGACAGAGCACGCCATTCCCCAATGTCCGCCCACCGTGCAAGGTCATGGCCTGCCTTTCGCTGAGCCAGGTGCGCCTCGGGGTGAATGTCAGGCCCAAAGGGCATACAGACTTGTATGGGATTATATCAGAATAGGTTGAGGCAAAGAGCCTATAGTTGAGCTCTTTTATATAGTAAATGTTTAATGTATTTGATTTATTTAATATTCAATTAATTAAAATATGCACAATTTGTCTTTCCTTTGAGGAACAAACGTATCTAATATCTATAGAGTTGAGCTCTTTTATCTTATCTGCTGGAAAAGTAAAAGATTACCTTGTCCCAAATTGTAGTCAGCAGCAGCTGCGAGCTGCTTTAAGCTGTTAGCATTTGTGTTACCCATCAATCTAGTTAAATGAATATTAAACTAAGTTAATTCAAGTCTTAAGTCTGAACGAATGCATTGTGCTAATGTGCCCCTTCTCTCCCCTCTCTCTGCTTGCAGTCACCACAGCTTGGGTCTGTCTGCCTCGTTGCCGGATTTGGTTGGCAGCCCGTTGGAGATCAACATGGACAATGTGCTGACCATTGAGGAGCTGCGCCAACATCTGGGCTCCTGCTTTACGTGCGGTGTCTCCTGGACCGATGATCATGTCTCGCTCGATTGCAGCGAATGCGGCGGCTACAGCCTGGAGCGTCCCTGTCCCCTGTGCGACGGCCAGTGCGGTGTCCAATGGAAACGTGACTTTGCCATGGTGAGTGTTGCCTGCCGCATGCCTAGAGCACAGAGTGCAACAATAGCTAATCCTTTCTTCTTCTCACCCTTGCAGTCGCATGCATGCAGCAAAGCGCGCTGGGTCGGCGTCTGCCTCAGTTTCCCGGAGGCGATGGCCGCTGCTGTGCAGCAGCAGCTGCCCGTTGCCAGCAATACGGCCACAACGGCCACATCCTGTGCCGCTGCCGCTGCCGCAGCGCATCAGCTGCGTCTGGCGCAGGAACTGTGCTCGCGCCTGGAGCAGCTGTCGACGGCATCGTCGACGGCGCCAAATAAAATGACGCGTCTCTGAAGCGTTCGCGCCGGGCCGGCGTACTCTAGTACAGTGTTCCTTTTCAAAACGTGTTGGCGCCAACTAGACACAAGCACATGCATTATCAGCCACCTGCCACATGCCACATGCCACATGCCACACATACATAACCCATACATGAGCCAACAAAACAAACATTTATTATTTTATTGCTGCATTGGAGAGAGTCGCAGAGGAGGAATGAGCGCGTGGACGCCACTGGAGAATCTCTTTCTCTCTCTCTCTCACACACACTTCATATTTAAATTTAGTGCTTTATTTACTAAGCTTTTTTATTAGTTCTTAGTGTTTTTTTTTTTTGTTTTTATTATTCTTCTTCTACTGAAAACAGTTTTTTGTTGTTGTGCACGCGTTCGAGCTTTTGCGAATTAATGTAGCTTGTGTTGAATTAGCGTTAAGCAGTTAATTAATTATTTGTTTATACTGTAATTACGGCCACACACTCATACATATTGAACAAGAAGAAGAGACTACATTTAGCTTGAACTTAAGTCCAGTTTAAGCGCCGCGCTGCGCAGTGATAACGGTGATATTAGCCAGAGAGAGAGAAAACAAAAGCTAAACGCAAAATGTTCATTAACAAATAGTGAATTTAATAATTGTAGCTAAAAACAAAAAGAAAGTCCAACGATCTAAATACCTAATTGTTAACATTTTAGTTGTTGTTGTTGCTTTTGCTTAGTGTCAAAACAAAAAAAAAAACACACACACATTTGCCAAATCAAAATGAAAATGTTAAAAAATTTGATAAACAACTCGTTGGAGAATTATTGCAACAAAAAAACAATTATTCAAAACAAAAACAAAGAATCTTCCATAGAACGCCTAATGCTCAACGCAGAAAAGCAACGCACAAAGAAAAACCAAGCTGAAAAGTGAAGAGAACAAAAAATTATGAAAATGAAAAGAAAAACAATTGGGAAAGTAAGCATTACTCAAAAGAAAGTTGAAGATTTTCTGTGAAAATCCATATGACATATACTATATACTAGAAGTTTATACCTTATATATACACATATACATAAACATATATATACATATATGTATATACATCTATATATACTACTATAGCTGCATAAAGTATACACATACACACAAACACACATATATATATATATACTATATATTTTTAATGTAGAGATATGTTTTGTAAAAAGACAAAATCATATTTTTAAAATTAAAATATATTCAAAAATTGTAATTGTATTTTTTGAAGGCGCGTTCGCCTTACACTCTTTATATATGTACATAAATATATGTACCATATGCAAATATATATATATGATATATATAATCGTCAAGTGTAGGGCTTAACACATGCCTGGCCTTATCAACACACATCAGATAGTGTGTTCCCGAGGGCTTTTAGATTTTTTATTATTATTATTATTCGAAATGGGCACAAATTTCATCATTGTGACTTTTGTGAACCTAACAAATGGACTTTATATATACGTGTGCATATAAATTTATTTAGTGGTCATTTAGTTTAATGTTCGTTAATCTTCAAACTGTCCTTTATTTAGCTTTGCCGCTTTAACGGTATGCCACACACACACACAAACACACATATAGTTTATTGCCTTGTGCCACATTCACTTCCTTGTTGCCGGCTACAGGTTTGCCCACACACACACGCACACAGTGAGCGCTGTTAGTTAACAGCACTGTGCAGCATTTTGCCATTATATCATCTATATTTATATATGTATATATATATATATAAATATATATATTGGTAATGCTGTGTGGGCACCTAATTTACCGGAAAATGCCAAAGTGTGCAAAAACAAATTTACGGAATAATTATATTTCGCTTAATGGAAAATAATTAGTGGCAATTGACAAAAAAAAACATATAGAAAACAACTGCTATTACAAAATCAGTTAAGTTGAACAAAATAGAGTTAAAAATATATATGTATATGGGCAGAAATTCTTTATATAAACCATAAAGCAAAATATATTTATAAAAAATAGGTAAATGTACAAAAACATTTATATTCTGGGATAAGCGTCAGCTTAGAAAGATTATAATATTTTATTGGTATTATTGAGTAAAGTTGAAAATTGATGGCAGAAATTCAAAATATATTTATATGTACATATATATATTGTAAGAATCAATGTACTAAAGCCTAGGCTAAGCCATTAAGCAAGACATAATTTATGTTATGCTCCCCCAAAATTAATAATAGTTCATTTTTTAGGCAAACTACCTAGAGAGGGAGTGGGAAATTGTGACCTATGTCTATAAGGGATACTCGAGGGTTAAGAGGGTTTAGATGCCAAATAGATTAATAGGTCGTGAAAATCGGATGAGATTTGACCAAGTTATGGGGCTGGGACCTTTGTCTAATCTATACATATACATTATATATCTATACACATCAGCTTACAGGTATTTAATAAATATATATATAGAGGTCATCTTCTATATATATTAAGATGCATAGCTTTGCTCTTATAAGTATAATTTGTAAACTTTATAGAGCTTATATAAAGGTAATTACTTTTGCTATAATTACTCTGATTATAATTATAATAATTGTTGAGGTTTTTGCTGGGAAATGAAAAATTCCAGAAAATAGAATTAACATTTTGCCTTAGTGCAAATTTTATTCAATTGTTTTTGGATTTTCAACATTTTTGCATATGAAATTTGGAAAAACCCGATTATAGAGCAAAAAGTCCACAATCTAAAAAAAACCTTTCAATATTTATATTTAATAATATTCTATAGTAATTTATATTGTTTGCTTTAAATTGGAATTTTGCTTTAAATGGGGATTTTTCACAAATCGAAAGTACTTTGGAGGCTATAATTATAGCAATTTATGTATAATATATATTATATATATATGTATATATATAATTATAATATTTGTAATACTTAATTTAGCTGCCATTAACGTTTTATTATTTTTGAGCTATTTTAATTGATTTAATCGATTTACGACAAGTTCTTTGTTTGTCTGTAAGGCAGAGGCTAGCTACGTTATTTATTTCCCGATAATGCTCTATTCGTAAAGCCCCATTCAGTGAACCGCTGGCCCATTCATTATTATCAGTTCAAAAAAATATTTTTATTCGGAATTTCCTGTACACGAGTGCAGATAAGTTAACGCTAAGCTAAACTAAATTTATTGCATGGATTTATTTGAAAAGTGCCACTAAAAAGAACGAAAATTGTAAATTGCAAATGTGATTAGGGTATCCGGTAGTCTCTCATACACGGCACGACCTTCGCTTACCTGCTTAACACTAATTCGCTTGGGATGAGCCAAGGCAGCAGCAGAGACTGCGACTGCGACTGCGGCAGCTGCGACGTCGCTGGTGTTTATACCAGGCGGACATGGCCAGGTTAACATCGCCTGCTTGGCGGGGAGCATGAGGAGAACAAGGCTTTTGTTATGGTTCAGTGGACACGGCAATTTACTCTTACAGCTGTGCGGCAGGTGCAGGTCCAGCTGCAGGTCCGGTTCGTCGGCGGGCGCGGGACTGGGCAGATGCGATTCCAGCTGGCCGAGCAGCTCGCTCAACTCCTGCGCATCCTTGCTGATGCTGCACAGCTCCTCCTGCTGGAAGTCCGGATTGATTTGCTTGCACAGCAATATCTGGCTAATCACATTGCCCAGATTCGAGGGTGCGCCGCGAGCGGGTGCTAAATTGCGCCAGGTTCAGATTTAATTCTCGGATCAGCTACAGCCACTCACCATAGTAGTCGGTCATGTCGTAGGGCACCAGCTGTATGAGCCGATGGCTCCTGATGAGCTCGTGCCGGAACTGCTGCGTCAGCTGGTAGAGCAGCTGGAGCTGCAAGCGGCACTCACTGGAGCTGGCCGGCTGGCTGTGCCTGGACTGTGGCGTGATCAGATGCGCCGTCTGCTTGCAGGCATCCACGCAGCTGCGTCGCAGTCGACGGATCTTCTCGCGCAGCTCGGGCGAATCGCGCGTTTGGCCAATAAAGATGAGCAGCTCACGGAATTGAGCCACATGGCAGTTGATTTCCATGATGAGCTGCCAAACCAAAGAAATGAGTCAGGCATTTATGCAGCTGGCCGAGCAGCAAAGGACTGCACCTTTTGTGGATCCCGCGTGGGCAACAGCAGCTGCGGCAAATAGATGGACAAACGATGCGCGATTATTGTCGAATTCCGTATGGCCAGAGCCGTGCTGCTGGTCACGCCCCCGCCCATCGCTGGCAGCTTCTCGCCATAGTCGAAGCCTCCAATGTGGGCCATGCTTTGATGCCGACTGCTGCGGCAACTGTGGCTGCTTCTGTCGTGGCATTTGTGCACCGCTCAAAAGTATGCTATAAAAAGTACAAGAGCAGGTTGTCTCACTGTGTGTGTACGAGTGTGTGTGTCTGTATGTGTGTGTGTGTGTATGGGTGTGTGTTTTGTGCAAGCAAATTGCGGCCTGTCTCATTACCTTGTGTCAACAAGTCACGGCTGCTAAACAACAGCAAAACAAGAAGCAGTAAAAGAATTGCTCGACTGTTGAGATACTCTGTAATCAGCAGAGTAGTGGCAATTATTTGTTTTGCTTTAAAAATTCAAGAAAAGTTCAAAAATTAGTTTTTGTGATTTAAACATAAACTTAAATAAAAGTTTACATCAATTTACCTGCTAAATAGCAATACATATAAATTTGAAAATCTGAAAGATAAAAACCTAAAACTAAACTTTACCTGAATGTCACAAGCAGTGCCACACAACCAATATACCCTTTAGTGCATTTGAGATAAGAAAACAAAAATAAAAATAAAATTGCAGCATTGCTGCAGTTGCCAAGTTGTGTTGCATGTTGCAAGCATAATAACCATCTAATGTAACCATAATCACAACTGTTAGATAAAAAGGAAGAAGCAGAGCAGATGTGCAGACCATTTCCATGAAAAAGAAGCAGAAGCATCAGGATCATGGCGACCAGGAAGGACACGAGACAGTCGCTGGGCTGAGCACATGAGATAAAAAATGTTTTGTTTAGGAACAAAGTAAAGGAGAAAAAGATGAGCTTAAAAATGTTGATTTTTGTAAAGAATTAAGTAAAAGGGATGAATGAAAAACGCATGAGATTTAAGAGATAATTGTCTTTATAGAAGGAAAAATAATATATAATAAATAATAAAGGTATATAAGTATTATATATATATATATATATATATATATATGTGTGTGTGTGTGTGTGTGTGTGTGTGTGTGTGTGTGTGTGTGTGTGTGTGTGTGTTAAAGTGTGTATGTGTGTGGTCGTGTGTGTGTTAGTGTATGTTTATATATATGTATGCATGTATGTTCGTTTTCTAATACCAAACTATACTGCAAATTTATATAAAACGAATTTATACTAAATGCTCTCCTCCTCGATTCTCAAAAATTTAGGTGGGTCCTGCTGAAATTCAACAAGGCAGCAAACGTTGGCTCCAACGGCCGGTGGCGGAGCAGCTTGCGGTGGTGGAGCAGGAGGTGGTGGAGGTAAGTCGAAATGTATGTATGTAGGTGTACGTATGTATGTATGTATGTATGTATGTACGTATGTATGTACGTATGTATGTATGTATGTATGTATGTATGTATGTATGTATGTATGTATGTATGTATGTATGTATGTATGTATGTATGTGTGTATGTATGTATGTATGTGTGTGTGTGTGTGTGTGTATGTATGTATGCATGCATGCATGCATGCATGCATGGAAGTATGCATGTGTGCATGTATGCATGACTGCATGTATGTATGTATTTATACATGATTGTATGTATGCATGTTTGCATGCATTTATGCATGTTTGCATGCATTTATGCATGTTTGCATGCATTTATGCATGTTTGCATGCATTTATGCACGGGTGCAAGTATTTTTGCATGTATACATGTATGTATGCTTGCATGAAGACATGTATGTGTGTGCATGTATGTATGATTGTATGTTTCTTTGCTTGTATGTTTGTATGTATGCATGTAATGTAAGCAAAAAAGATTCAAACAATATTTATAGAATATTTATAATACCCTATATAGACTTATTTAAAGTCATATTTTCATATTCAAGAAAGCACACAGAGCTCAATAATTGACAAAACCTTAATTTAATTTCAGCTTTTAATTATTTGAATGCCGGCTACAAAAGTGATACGATGCGATACGACTTTAATCGTCATCATCTTCGCCCAAAATCGATGTGCCACTATTGGTGGGACTGAGATAATCTACATACAGATCCACGGTGTCGATGTCAATCATGTCCAGCTCGTCGAAGATGGTCTCATCCCTGATTCCTTTTGTGGGATCCTGCAAAGAGATCAACAAGGATGAAAGGTAAGAGCTCTCTTAGGCGTTAAGTACATCTAGCACTTACAGCTCTAGCATATTTCCAACACGTGAGGGCATTCATATTGTTGCCCATTTGTAAATTGATCAACGCCAGGTAACCCCAAATATCTGGCACATGTGAACCAAATGTGGTGCATTGGACAAAACACTCCATCGCCTTGCTGTACTCATTCAGCTTATAGTAGGCCTTGCCCATGAGATAGTTGCTGACCAGGGAAAGCAATTTGCCGACACTGGGATATTGCAGTGCATCAATTGTCAGCTGATAGTTGCCCGCCTCAAAGGCCAAGTAGGCCAGACGAAATTTGCTGAGTAACAAATTATCACGACCTGGTGTAGCTGCTCCGCACTGTTGCAAATTGCGTGCATAATATTCGGCGGCGCTCTCCATATTACCGCGATAATACTCCACATTGCCATTTAGCTGAGCATTAAGGCCGACCTAGACAGAGTTCGAAGTGGGAATGTTGATTAGAGGTCTGCATCGAGACAATCGCAACGCGTTTTGGATGCTCGAGTCGGTCAAGACTCGAACTTGTTGGTTCGAGCTGTTCGAGTTGCAGACAGGAAATTGAGTAGTTCAATCAAACATATTCAATCGAACATGTTGGTATCTCATGCAGCTCGAACTTCGTTTGTGTTCGGGTTGGGTGAATAGTTTATTCAAACAGTGATTAGCTCGATGCTCGAAGGTTCGAGTCTATCGGTTTGCTGCTGAATCGTTTGAGTATTCGAGTTTGATAGAAATGTGAGTAACAGACGTCTGAACGAAAACTCACCAGCAGTTCCTCCGCACCGCTGCCCTCAAAACTGAACGTCGTCACCATAAAGTCCGGATCTAGTTGATTGAGAAATATCCTTAACTGTGTGCTTATCATATAGCTCTCCGCAAGGCTGCACTCGTGCTGCACATCCTCGAATATCACCTGACCGAACTCGTACAGGCCCAAGCGCACAAACATTTTGAAGGATTCGTAGAAAACGTAGCCGCGCTGATGGTCAAATGTGGGATACACGTTCAGCGATATGCCCCACAAGCTATACGGCGCCGTGGAGCTGCTGGCACGCGGCTTTTTTAGGTGATCTTCCAAGCGCCAGCGTGCATACGAATGCCCGGGCGCATAATCGAAGCGTTTGTAGTAGCAATAGAGCAATATCCAACCATCCAATTGACGATCATTGTTTTCCGCATATTTCATTATGCTATTCAAGAGGCATTCGGTCGCATTGGCTGATACTAGCGGATCGGGATCGTCCCGTGTGGCCAGATAGTCCAGGTAAATGCGTATCCAGCCGCTGTGAAGGCATACATTTCATTCTGCTACAAGTCTAGTTTGAGTTGACCGACTAGCAGATACCCTGTACGTTTCGAATTCGAAAGTTTCTGAGGCTTATGCAGACAGACAGATAGGTGAGGAGACAGACGGACAGGCAAATGGGCATAGAGGTGGGAAGAGAGGTGGGCAGAGAGGTGAGCAGAGAGGTGGGCAGGGAGGGGGGCAAAGAGGGAGACAGGCGAGCTGGATGGGCTCAGCTGGGAGATGCCTCTGTCTTGTACTTCAACAGACTACCCTCCTCTTTCAAGCACATTTTCAATGGGTACAGGGTATCTGACTGTCCATCACTTACGCAAGGTAATCGTGCATCACAGATAAAAGTTTTTGCGTTTTAAAGAAGGCTTTGGCTGCCACGTATTCTCCGCGTTCCATGTTTGCGATTAGGTCATAGAACTCAAAGAGACTGGCAAAGGTATTCGTTCTTTCCTGAGAAGGAAAATAAGCGTAAATAAGTTTTAATCTGTAATTAACTTTAGCAAAAAAAAAAAAAAAAATGAAAAGAAAATAGTTAATTTTCTAGATACATTTTGTGAGTACTGAGTGGGTTTTGGTACTGAAAAAAAATCAAATTAAATAAGCTGGGACTGAGAAAGTGCAAATTTTATGCTGAAGCTTATTAAAGGGTATTTCCCTCACTTAATTTTTGATTCAAATTTCCTATAGCATCTATATGGTATAGTAATCCGATATTAATAAGATTTTAATATAAGGGGAAATTTAGAACAAAAAGAGAGTTAAATTTTAAATAATTTTTTTCTTAAGGATCTCTAGGATATTGATCGATTTTCCTAATGGAAACTTAAAATAGAAGTCAGAAAAATTTGTTTGAAAAAAGTTTTGTTTTTAAAGCTAAGCTTTCAGGAGAGCTATGTGATATAGTGTCCCAATCTGGCCGACTTGGATATAGGTAGTTATTATCTAGTTTGACAGAAAGTCAGACTTGATTAGACTTTTATCGATCATATCAAATATCGATTATAACAGGCTAGAATCGATAGCTTATAAATTGTTGGGTATAACTGGAAGAGAAGAGTCTGAAAATGTTTTTTCGTGTATTTTAAGTGAATATGATTTATGATGCTTAACTGCACGAGATACGAATAGCTTATCTTTAAAGTGCCCAATCATCCAGCCAATCACCTTTTCGTAAAAATAATTGGCCATACGTTTGTCCCCGACGGCGTTCATGATTTTAATGGTATTCATATGATCGATCAGATTGTCGATGCGCTCCTGTTTGTCGGCCACAAGCTCATCCAGGCCCTCCGCCTCGATCTTTTCGAGCAGATTGTGCGCCCGCTGCTCCAGCTCATTGTAGGCAACGGCGCACAAGTTCTGTTGATTGAATTAGACTGTATATATAATGGGGAATAATTTCAGTTATTCGAGATTTGACTAACTGCAAACTCAATGCTGGTGCTGGTGGGTACGCGCATATTGAAGTCACAGCCGATCACCTTGAGCAAGATGTTGGTCAGATTCTGCAGGGCGCAGCAGAAATGACTCCGCTTGTCCTCGATGCTGTGCACATTCCTATCGACTATATAGCGTATCGTTTCCCGCATAAAGATA